TTCTCTTTTAAATTAGCATCATTATTTTGAAATATTCCTATGAAATATGTTAATAAGATATCTTAATAGTAAAATGTATGTAAAATATGTGTACGAAGAAAATTGTTTAAATATAAAGTGATTTTTGTACGTCCATTTTATTTTCGTACTTTACTTCCTTTTATGCAATCAAATTATTGTGTATCGGCATGTATATCCTATATATATCGCGTATATATTATAATAAAATATCTGAAGTAACAAAAGGTCAGAAAGAATAAATATCTGCGTTGGGAAACTCGAGAAATTTTGCGACTGATAAGATAAACAGAATGGCGACGTTGAGCTACTACAGAAAAGTTTCCTGGAACGCGTGTCCAATTTCGAATAATAAAGGCCGAGAGAAAAACGTATCAAATTTAACATTTCAGCATTTAACATTCCGAGTGATAATATTTAATGAATGAACACCACAATCAAACTTCGAAAGCTCTGCTTTCAAAAAAGTTTGTAAAATGAGTGTTTAATTTCAAATAATTTCTTAGAAGCGGTAATCTCGATTTAATAATAAAGATTGAGAAACAGATCACTGCCCTATTTAATATGTTAACATTTAACAACATCCCGAGCGAACGATAATAAATACACTGAGAAAAAGATATTAAAAATTTATTCACGAGATATAATGTTTATTTCATTGAAATAAATCCGCATTTAAATACGGCAAAATAAAATTTTATTCCTAGTACAAATAAACCATCTATTTTATTTTCTATTATAATTAATGAATATGTTTCACAGAAATATGTATATTTCACTATTAAGCAATCAAATTTTTATAACAAATAAATAAAAATATCGAAAAAAATATTACATGTGCACTATTAGATATCAAGGAAGCAAAGGTAACTCAATTTCTTAAGTTAAACAAAATTTTGTTAGTTTTAACTTCCATATACATTAACATGTAAATCAATTTATTTCAGTAGTTAGTTTCAAAGCAAATATCATCTATATTAATGTACGTAGTTGTAATTAATATATGTAAAATATAATTAAAATATATGTAAGTAATATATGTAAGTAATAAATAAATTGAGTCAAATTTAATTACATCTTCTTGAGTTAAATTTAACCTTATTGTTTTTAATTAAATTAACGACATATTAAGTAGAAGCAGTGGCAACTATAGAAATAATTGAAAATAACTCAAATTGAGTATGATTTGATATTATGAAATTAACAGTGTAATTTGCTTGCGTATATTCCAATTTTTTTCCTGAGGGTACTTATTGTAATAAATGAATAACATTACAATTAAATTTGAAAAAAATCCTGTTTTAAACCTGAATACACTCGACGTACTTGCGACACATGCTTGTAAGTATTTTTATCTACAATAATAAACGAACAAAATGATAAAATCATCACTTTAGTATCTCGTCGTATTTCCTCGAATTTTTCAAGGTCTTTAGAAGCAAAATTTTATCGAAATAATAATATCCAAAGATAATAAGAATATCTATCTAGGAATTAAGATGACAAAATTCATATTTTTTCTTTAATTTGATCTTATCAATCAAAATACATCATACTCGCTTTTTACATACAGATGACCTTGTTCAATATAGATTAACTTACTTTACTCTCTTTATCTTTTTCTAATTCTTAAAATTAGAGGAAGACAAAAAGTAAATTAAATCGAGATAAAAATTTATCTACTTTGATACAAATAAACATTAAATTGCTTTGTTTCTTTAATTTCTTTGCTAAAATATCGATCGTTAATTCTGAGATACCCGGTATATCGTACACACCGGGCGTATATATATATGCACTTTGTCCTTCTCTTTCTTTCTTTCTTTCTTTCTTTCCTCTTCCTCCTGCTCTTCTCAGCGTCCAAAAGCGTGCACCGGCACGAAGGACGAGTCTGCACACGTTCGCTCTCTCTACTCGGCTCTCTATTCTGCCTTTCCTTCTTCCCCTCTTCTCTCTCTCTCTCTCTCTCTCTCTCGCTCGCTCTCTCTTTCTCTTCTTTCTTTACGGAGCCGAAGCATGGGGCGAGGTCCGATTCGAACGCACGTCGCGCTCGTGGGAAAAATAGAAGCGACAAGCGAAACACGCGCCGCGTCCAGGCTTTCTGGGCGTCGCGACGGTTCTCCTTCGTCTCCACCTTCGAGACGTCTTCTCGGGAGTGACTCGACGAAACTCGCGAGAGAGACAAACACTGTTCGTCGTGCACATCGCCGGATATCACGAACGTTTCAGCTGACCGACGATAATTCCTCGTGATTCATCTCGCGTCTTACGTTTCTTTACGCCTAGCCTGGTTAGGTTGGTGCCTTTCTGCCGCGGTTCACCGAGTACGCGTATCCTTTCGTTTCGTTTCATTTCCTCGCGTAGAGAACGTGATAAAATCGCCATGGTCAAGAAACGTATTCTTGCTCGCATTTCGGAAAGAAAGGAGAAAAATAAATCATCTATTAAAATATATATATATATATATATACATATATAGATACATGTAAAATATTAGTTCCGAAACATAATAGACGTAAGCTTTAAGCCATAAAATATTGGCCAATCGAAGATAAAGAGAATAATCGACTATGGATTGGTTGATTCCTTATTCAAGGCTTACTATACCTATTGTGTTTCAGGACTTATAGAATAGCAATAAAACGACATGTACATGTATTGTAAAATCATGTGATTTTTTTATTTCTTTTGAAGTTCTTTATAAATTTCCTTAATTTGCTAATTTTTTATTTAAATCGCATTCTAGATAATCTAGACACTGTTCGTTTCTATTACTTTGGAATTTACTTTTCTGTGCCATGCAAGTTAGTATAGGCTGATCCTGAGTACAGTCTCCTGATTCATCAGAGATAAAAATAAAGTTTTATCTCTGCTGTTCATGTAATTTTGTATACTCTTTCCACAATACAATTCTAAATTTTATACTACATTTCCTAGTATCTTTCCAGTATAAAGCTTTTCTTTCCGAGTGATTGTTGTCGGAATGTAATTGTCTCGAATTAAGAGCGGCGAGTGATAAAAAGACGTAGTTAAAACCTCAGGTGCGATCAAGATCTCCAATCTATTCTTCTCGACTACGTACTTTCTCTTCAAACACCTTCTTAGACGCGTACATTTGTCTTTTTTTATCTCTTGCTAAGAGTCCAAGTTTATCTCAAGATGTAATAAACTTGAGCTTTCAGCGAGAAAAACAGTAGAGTGAAGCTAATTCGTGAAGTATAATGAGGAAAAAAGAAGGGCCGCAATCTTTCATTGTTACATGTTTTTATTAGTTGCGTTATCCATGTCATGTCACCTGTTCCTCTCCGTTTGCTCTATTTTAAACGCGAAGTGCGACTTAAAAGAATCGAGTCGCACAATGAAAAAAAGTCTGGTAATAGCTATTAAACGTATCTTGTTTAGCATATCGTTGCAATATTTAGTATATAAATATTATAAATATTATCAAACATAATAACAATAATCAACCATTTGGTAATAATTAGAAAAATAAGATAATATTTGATAAAGTAAAATCAGTATTTAATTAGTTTTGGTTATATTAAAGATTATACGTATTTTTCAACAAAATAAAAAAATTATGAAAGAATTACAGATATTTTTATATACATATATTAAAATAATGACAAAAAGTTCGACAATTTAAAATCTGAGTTAAAAATGATTTTAATATAAATAGACATTTTTAGTAGATGTTTTTAAAAAATAATTAAGAGAAAATGAGAAAATTTTCATTGAAACCGTAAAATTGCATTATTAAATATCATATTAATGAATATGTATGTAATTTATATTATTATATATGTATTCTTATTTTTATATCAAAATATATTTTCAATTTCAACTTCTGCAGAGATTATAGACCTGATATCTCTATCCTTAATCAAACATTTGATTAAAATTATTTTTGTTTTTCAAACTTTTTTAATCTCTCCTCATCACTTAGGCTCGATTATTTTTACTCAATTTTTTCAGTGTAGTGAAAATAGAAAAAGAATCTGATGATAAACTACCATTGAATGAAATAATTTCAAATGTTTAAACATAAACAAAAATTTTATTTTCCTGAATATTTAGTAATTATTACCAAACGATTGGTAACATATTATTGTACTCAATAAATATTATTAAAAATAAATTATTTTTGTTATATTACATACTCAAACATTTGATTGACAATATTTCACTCAACATTTAATAATTATTATTAAACTTCTTCCTTTTTTTAATATGCACGAGAATTATCGCGACAGATTTCGGCGAGTTGAGAGCACGACGTCCACGAAGTCTCGTCCGCCGAAGCCACATCCTTTATTTTATATACGAAATAATATTTTGTGGAATTTAACATGGCATCAGTTGTTAATATCAAATCTTTTATACGAACGATATATACATAAGAGTTAAATGATAAAGATAATACCACTTGGGTTTTACTTTTTAAATTGTAGGAGTAAAGACAGTAGCACACACATTTCTAATTTTAGTTCTAATTTTTAATTTTTAATTTGATGTAATAGTTTTTTTTCAAAAAGTAATAATTTTCGACAGAAAATGTCAAAAACTCTGCCACTACTTGGACTGGAATAGATAGACCTTTTATAAGAATATGTTTGAAGAAGTAAAAACGTAAAGAAAAATATCAAGATAAATATCATCTGTATTTTTTATTTTTGAGGAAAAATAAAGAATATTTTTTGAAAGAGAAGCTGCAATTACTTGGATTGAAATAGGAAGACCTTCGTTGAGAAAATATTTTTGAAGAAAAACTAAAACTACTATTATTTGGATTGGAATAATAAAAAGATACGTGACGTATCGCTTAGGTTTTATTAGAGATCTTACACACGAGTTATTCCCTTCCTTTTCCTCCTTGCTCCACAACTTCACATTCTCGAAAGAGATCGCCGAAATCGCACTGAGAATTCTCCGAAGGATGCGAAGAGGGAAAGGGGAATATTCTCACAGGGGCCAGCACTCACCTCTCGCGATGCAGCAGGCAGATGCGCTCCTTGGCGACCTTCAGTTTCTTGGAGATGATCTTCTTGAGATTCTCCACGGTATCGTTGCGGTCGACCGCGAGCTCGAACTGACCGCCGGTGGTCGGCGTGATGCAGACGGTGATTTCGTCCTTGTCGACCGCAGTGGCCGCGTTGGCCGCGGCCACGCAGCCACACCCCGGCTGCGGTGCCGGCGGCAGATGCGGATGCGGCGTCGTCGACGTCGTCGCACAGGAGGTAGTAACAACAGCAGCTGCAGGCCCCGGGGACGCGGCTCTTATCGAGCCCAGGTCACGACACTCGACGGGATCAACAACGGCGTCGCCGGTGGTAGATGCGGAAGCGGAGGCGGCACTCGCGTCGTCCTCGTCGATCGTCCGCATCTTCGAGGTGGTGGTGGTGGTAGTGGTGGTAGTGGTGGCATCGTCGCTCTCACTTCCCATCGCCGACGCTACGTCCGACGTTCGCGGTGGACCCGCGGTGTCGTCCATCCTGCCACGATTGCTCAGTAGGAGACTATCGTCGAGATTTACCCGTGCGACACTCTGCACACGCGGCGATAAACAAAAGAAACTTTCGACCGTGCACGAGTCACGAGTCACGAGGCAAAGGACGAAGACGTCGACCACTGGCGTTCACGACTAACGCTTTTCGCCGCTACGCGTTCGCGTGTATACTCTTAGTCCACCGCCGCTAACCGCTTCCTCCTGCTTCTTCCTTTCTGCTTCTCCAGTCTCCTCTTTCCTCGCTTCGCCCGTCCTGTCGACTTCTTCACCTTCCCCCTCCCCCCCCCCCCCCCCCCCCCCCGCCCGCCTCTCGCGAGCGCTCTCCGGCTCTCCTACGTGTTCGCCGTGCTTGCCGTGCTCGTGGCGCGTACGTCGTCGTTACCGCCGTCTATATGCATGCACCTGCACCTGTACTCCTCCCGCTATCGTCGCCTGTCTGCCTCGCCACAGTCGCCGTCTTCCTCCCTTCCCGCTTCTCACGGAACGGAACGTTGGGAGACGAGAACGAGCGAAGGCAGCCGGCACCCCGAACTGCCTAAACTCGAAGAGAGCGGCCGTCACCGCGCGAAGCGCGCACGCGGCGAAGAGGAGGACAGGAGGTGGCGGAATAACAAGCGCGACGGACAAAACGGAGTAATGGAAGGGGAAAAGGACATATAGGGAGAGAGTAGAAACAAGTAGTAGAGGGGTGTATTACGCGGCGCGAGAGGAAAGCGGAATTCGTGGCGTCCGCAAGCCGCCTGCCGCCTACCGTACGACGATACGCGAGATCGGCATGGAGTACAAAAAACCAACGGAGGCGACTGGCGAGACGATGGCAAACGCGATCGATAGCAACGCGTGTTATAAAGTATTAGCGCGATATAGATAATAGAATATTCGCTAGCCTCGGCTCGAGAGTCGGGAGAGAACACTGGTCACTGCTTCGTTCCTCCTCCACCTCCTACTCCTCTCCTTCTCTTTCTTTCCGACAACACTGTGTGACACACACACACACACACACACTACTATACACGCGACGAATATCTCCCCCGCCACCTCTCTCCGTTCTCGCTCCTTCGACAAACGGCAGACTTTGTGCTCCTCCTTTCTTCCTTCCTTTCTCTCTGCCTCTTCTATCTCGAGAATCCTCCGTATGAATTTCCCTCTCTCTCTCTCACGCGCTCGCGCACACTCCACGTATATTCACAGCACGCACGATACGCACGATTCGCACGATCCTCCCTCGAGCGCTCGAATCCTGCGACTGTCTACGATCAGCAAACTGAAAACCGGAGCTCCCGGAGCTTCTGCTAGATTCCCAGACCCAAGACCCAATCCGGTCGTCTACCGTTCCACGAGACGAGTGCGCGGTCGAAGTGGCACGACGTGAGCCGAGTCGAACCGATCGCAGACGCGCCGCCGCGCCAAAGAATGTAACGCGAACCGAGTCGAATCGAGCGCGGTCGCGCAATTTATTCAAATTATAACCACTTGTAATCCTTTAGTATAGATAGAATTATTAATTATATTGAAAAAAAAATTACTAAATTTTAATAACTATATTTGTTTAAATAGTACTAGCGAAATATTTACTTACAATAAAAAAATGAATATATTTATTCAATAAAAAATTGATATTTAAATCAAATGTATCAAATAAATATGTTTACATTTAGTAAATATTTAGTTAGTACTATTCAAACAAATATTTATTAAAATTTAATAAATTTTTTCAGGCTAATAATAAATAAATAATATTAGAATTATTAGTTTTTATTGTTTAACACATAGAGAAAATATTAGAATATTTATCAGAAATAACGAATTAGATACTTATAAATTGTGCATTAAGTTAAGTGATTTTTGAATGCCAATTAATTAAATCGGCATTCATTGATTGTAATTATAATTAATTATTAATTTGCTAATTAAAGCAGGAATAGCCGTGTTCTGGTTGTTTTTCTGAAACAATTGTGCGAGTTCATCATGTTTTGCTTTTAAAAATTAATTTTAAAACATTTTTTTAATGAGATATTCTCTCTAAAACGGACACCGTTATTTATGCTGCGAAAATTTAAAAAATGAACGAATGTACCTGTTTTTATTTTTGTGGAAATTTTTGTGGAAATTAAAATTAAATGATTAGGGAGAAAAGGTCAACTTATGATACTATATATAGCTAGAAATTGGAAGTTCTAATAATTTAGACTTATATATATAACCTATATAAATAGAACATTAGAAAAATGTTTGATAAAAATAGAAAATATTGCATTAATCCTAAAAGATACATTCATAAAAAAAGAAAAAAAAGTATTCTAAATCAACGACTTTTCATCAATTAAAAATTATTATCATGTCAAACAATATTTTTACCTAATATAAATGAAGTGTTTTAAAGAAATTTAAAAAGATATTTTAATAAATCTTTCATAATGGTATAACTTTATATTTTTATTTATAAAAATTAATGAAAATTGAATTCAAAATTATCAAGTTTTTCATCTATTAAGCGTTTTAGGAAATTCTAAAAATACAAGATTTATGAATTTTTAACCAAACAGTATTGTTAATGACTTACACATACATGATTCGAAAAATCTCTTTTTATTCTTCACAAAATATATCTTTGCATATATTAACTTTATAGAAAATATTTTGATTTTATTTCATTTCGAACTCATTATAAATATATTAGGTCCGAGTCCATTTAGTATATTTTCTTAACAATTATAGCAAACTATTCATTGTAAAATAGAGAATATTTCGGAATACGATAAAGTTGTTAGACTGTCAGAGAGAACAGATTAAAATAGTTAAACTCTATAGATGTGCACATATAAATATCAAGTGGAAGTGATTACAGATTAGTGTCATTTGTTATAACTTTAAATAGAAGAAATAATTTACAATTGCGATGCAATATGTGGAAGAGAAAGAATCACAATTACAGTTCATCGAAGTATTATTTTGCATGGTATAATATACTCGTATATAAGACAAGGTGAAACGTTGCGCATAATGGCGCTAGCCATACTGGAAATAATATATTAGAAACAACCAATAAGAGGTCTTTTTTATTCTTGCACTAGATTACACTAGGACTTTTTCTCGCCTTTGTTTTAATATCAAATATATATTTATCTCACTTGAAGTTCCAAAAGTACACTATTTCAGCCAAAGAACACATATACCTCAGGTCCAAATTCACTCTACTGAGCATCCCCAGAAATATTTCTTGAATTTTTTACACCATATCATTTTGTATGTATTTTTTACCGATTTTAATTTGCTCTTTTCTCATTATATGTATAGAATTTTCCTATTGTCCAGCAATATCGTTATAATTTTCTTGCTCAATTCACATATCTATCCAAGTGTAACATATGTGATCTACACATAACGATATTAGTTATATTCTTACAAAACATATTTTACAATAAATTCTGTCATGTACACACACACACGCGCGCGCGCGCGCGTGTGTGTGTATGTGTGTGTGTGTGTGTGTGGG